CCCGCCGTCCCGCCCTCCCGCAGCGCGTGGGTGGTCGAGTTCTACGCCTCGTGGTGCGGCCACTGCGTCCACTTCGCGCCCACCTGGAAGGCGCTGGCCAGGGACGTGCAGGGTAAGCGCGACTGCCGCCCCGCGCCCCTCCCCGCGTCGGGTGGAGCGCCGGGACAGGGCCCTCTGCACGCGCCCCGAGGGGCTCTTGCCCGGACCGCGGCTTTGCCTGCGCCACACAGCTGGGCTTTGCCGCGTGGTCCGCGCTTCCCGTAATTCAGCCTGGCTCAAGGAACGGTGTGCCAGCCGCCCCTGCCTTCACCTTCCCGGGCGGGATGGGGTTGCCGCCGCCTCTGGGGCAGCTGGACCCACAAACTCCCGCTTCCCACTTGGTTCTGGGACGCTGCTGCTCCTAGTGCTCGGGTTACGTGGGAGACCTGTCACGTTGGTTTCTCGAAGCGCTCCGTGGATCCCCTTTCGCGAAGGTGACTACCAATCCGCGGTTCTTCGCTCGGGGCTCTTCCAGGGCGATCCCGTGGGCGCTTACTCCGAAGCGAGCCCTTTGCGTCGGCTGGCGCTTACTCGCAGGCAGGGCCTGTGCCTCTTTTCTGCCTTTCCGTGCTGTGCTTTCAGCCAGGAAGGAACCAGGAAGGATGACTTTAGGCGGGTGCCTTCACTCTCGCCTCTTATCTGTATCTATACCTGCTGCCCTTGGAAAAACAAGGCAGCCTCGAGCATAATCCTCCAGTACTTATGTTTGCGGGGGAAAATGAAATTTCTTGGCCTTTGGCGATTGCGAAGCGTGTGGTGGGAGGGAGCGGTTAATATGAAAAAGGTAAAATGTTTTCCAACTACATCTTGGAAGTCCCCCACCACCTGGTCAATAATGAAGAATATAACCAGGGCTCTGTTTTCTATCCAGATGGAGGTAACATACCCAGTAGTACCATAAAGAATGCATCTGCTCCGTCTTTTTCTCAACAGATTGTAAGAAAAGGCTGAAGGAATCAGGAATCCTGAGGAGGTTATAAATTCACCGTGTCGTCACCTGAATCCCACCCTCCCCCATAAAATTTTGAGCATTGGCATCATAAATCCTTGTCTGGAAGCTCTCATAAAATCCAGGACTCCCAAATTAATTAGACCTACTCCCCCCCCCCCGTTCTTTTGTTGCCAACCTACTTCCTTGCCCATCCCATTTTCTGGATTTCCAGCCAGTTTGCCAGATGTCCTTGTGGAATTTGCATCATTGTCCATATTTTTTTGGGTGGTGACTTTACCTGGCTTTCTCCTTGGGCCCAGTTCTGCCCTTGTCACAGGCTATGGGTAGGGGATCATCCAGTTCGTTAAGGCAGGGCTCCTTTCTTCCCACAAGTGGGGAAACGAGCCCGATAACAGCAACTAACCAGGTTCCTGTTACATTTAAATCGGGAGAATATGGATTCTAAGTGTGCCCTGATTGAAAGTTAGCTTCTATATCCTGGCTTGTTTGGAACCATGGTTTTCTGGGTTGGATGTAACAGGAAGCAATGGCTAACTGTGGTTACTCATGTTCTGAGTAAAGTAGTTGTGTTCAGGTACGTGGAGCTTGTTTATATTTGATCTTCCAAACACAGCCCTGCTGACTGCTGAGAGTAGGCAACCCTTTATTTATTAATTTATACCCCACCCTTCTTCAGAAAATGGTGTTCAAGGCAGCTAACAAGAAAACCCGGACTAAAAAAACATATTATTAATTTCATTTCTATATTGCCTCATGGCATCTGAGTGGTTTACAGTATCCCTTAAAAGCAAGGCAATAAAGTTTAATACAATATCATAAAATCAAAGAAACAAAGAATTTAACGCAGCTGAAACACCCAGCAAAAACTCCTGAAGCCCCTAAGTAAATCTTTAAAGGCCTTAGCATAAAGGGCTGCCTTAACCCAGTATCAAAAAAGTGACAAGTTTGGCACCAGGCAGGCTATGGTGGGGAGGTTGTTCCAGATACGGGGGCCACCACAGAGAAAGCCCTCCCCCTTGTTGCTGCCCTCTGAGCCTCTTTAGGAGTTGGTACTCAGAGGAAGTAGGTTAGGCATAATGTTTGAGTAGATGGTGTTTGGGGGAGGCGCTTGGACAGGTGGTCCCAAGTCATGCAAAGCTCTATAGGTTAAAACCAGCACCTTGAATTGGGTCTGGAACCGTACAGCCAGCCAGTGCAGTGAGTAAAGACATAACATAAAAACCAGTAGTTCAACCTGCTACTCATTCCTCAGAGCTGCAAGGAAGTTCTTACTTGGTTTAGATCTGTTTCAGTGTGACTTCTCCAAGAGGACATTTGGTAAATTGAACCTCTGATGTTTTAATTTTTAAAATATTTTGGCTATAGGTATTTGCTAAAGAGATGCAGCCTTGTAAAGTTGCCCTAACAGGCCCCCTGAGTGCTGTGTGAACCATTTAATGAGTCAAGCCGCAAATAGCAGCAAGAGTATTTCTGGTGGGTTGATTATGTGAAGCGAGGCATCTGCGTATTATTGATTTAGTATTCCCATAGGCTCTGGGTGGTTTACAAAAAAGTTAAAACCAATGGCAAAGGCAACATATTAAATAAAACAGACATGAGAACTAATCTAGAAAGGCTTGTTGGAAGAGAGATATTTTTAGCTCTTTCTTAGAGGTGGGAATTGGGGAAATCAGACGCATCTCTCCCGGCCGATCATTCCCCAGCTTAGGAGCAACCCCTGAAAAACTACTCCTGGTAGTAGGCATAAATCTGACAGAAGCAGTCTTCAGAAGAGTATTGCCAGAGGGCTTGCTGTCAACGTGGTGCTCCTGAAGTTATTTTGGACCCAAGTCGTGATGGGCTTTAAAGGCAATTAGCAGCTCCTTGTACTGTATCTCAAAATGTATTGGCAACCAATGCAAAGGCTTGAGAATAGGTGACATATGGTCCTTCCATGAAGTCCCAGAGACCAGCTGGGCTGCCATGCTTGTACTAATTGCAGGTTCTGGAGCGGGCACAACAGCAGCCCCTTGTACAGCGCAGTGCAGAAATCCAGCCTAAAACTTACCAATGCACACACTAACTTTTTCAGCTCGTTCTCCAGGAAGGGGCAGAGACGGAGAATCAGCCGAGGCTGATAGCAGACACTTTTGACCGCTGCTGGCAAAAGGGAGCAACTTCATCAGTGTTTTATTTTAAACACTCCCAACCCGTAGTTTGAATCTCTTCCACTTCTCATTTGCAGGCATCTTAGCAATTCAACGCTTTCTACATGATATTTCTGACATAGTCGCCAGGTTGGAATTTTACGAAGCAGCCTCTCTTTCACACCAGCGACTAGGTTGCCACTACTGCTTTCATGTTTCCCTTGCTTCAACAGTGTTATTACCTCCCTAATCCTAGACTTGTTTTGTGGTTCTTTATTATGTTTTAGTAGTGCCCTTTTAACCTTGATCTGTTTCATTGCCTCTGGCTTTGACAGCGGCACTGTCTTGGCTCCTGTCCAGGTGTTCTCTGTGCGTTTGCAAACCCCTTTCCTTTTGTCCCAATTCGGCAAGCGAGATTAATGTGGGAGAGACACAACAGGACTCCCCTGGTGGGTGCGTCACACTGCAGACACGCCGTGCGCTGCTTCACATCCAGACCTGAATGGCAGGGCAGCCCTCTAGTTTCGACTACCCTATAGTAGTAGGCCCCATGGATTCAGTGGGACTTGCTCTACGTGCACAATTTAGGCTCGCGGCCTGAGATGGCCAGTGTAGCTCAGGGTAGCAAAGTGGAAGTAGGAGGGTGAATATCTGCACTGCCATTGCAATGCCTCCGTGGAAGGTTCTGCTAGTATGTGTCTGTATGCTTCTCATGGCACGCCTGTATTTTATATATTAAATTGATTTATATCCCTCCTTTTTCTTTTTTTAAAGAACTCAGAACAGTTTACATCATTCTCCTGCTCTCAAACTCATCCCCACAACAACAACCCTGTGAGGTAGTTCAGGCGGGTAGTTCGGTCTATAACTGACCCAAAGTTACCCACTTGACTCCATGGTTGAGCAGGGGCCAGAACCTAGATCTCCCGAGTACCAAACTCTCTTAGCTGCGGCACCACTCTGACTCTCCTGTGGCTACCTGTGGCAAAGTGGCGATATCCAATCATGGCTAGATTTTTTTGGATGTAATTATCTTGCGTGCCACCTAGATAATTGCTGGTATAAGCTGGCTTAGAGAGGCTGCAGTGAGCTTTGTTTTTCATTCTGATTTCTCTGAACAGCTGTCAAATGTGATCTGTCAGGAAAAACAAAGCCTCAAATGATGTTTGCTCACAAAAAGAGGATAGCTGCTAGGTCACCTCTTTGGTGGCAAGGTCTCCTGGGGATTTTTCAGCCTCATTTCTCTCAGGTTCCTGTCGCCTTTTCATCCCTCCCAGAGACCCTAGGGGTTCAGGAGGGTGGAAAAGTGAGAGCCACCCCAATGGTTTGACAGCTAGCTGTCAGAATGGGCTCTTTTTTTATAAAGAGGTTTCTTGACAAAGCTATTTGGGGCTTTTAGACCTCCAGAGTGCAGGCACTCTTGCCAACCATGTGTCTCTCTGGGAAAATGGTAAGAGGAATGATGATACCATGGTGTTTGCAGCCGTGCTTACGGTCATGCCAGGAAAGGCAGAAAAGATGGGTCCTGCCATGGGGTCTCTTGGGCACCTGCAGGAGGGCCAAGGGTGAAGAAGCAGGGGGCGGCCTTGCTGAGTCCAGTCGTCTGTCAGGCTCTCCTGGGGTTGTTTCAGGAGCCATCTGCCCTGTGCAGCTTCTTTGCAGGTGCACTGTTGTGATGGGTGATCTCGCCCAGGATGTCCCACTGTTGGTCCTCCGGGTACAGAGATAACACGGATCTGCCTCACAGCACTGCTGTAAGGATTGCTGTGGGGACCTGTGATGGGTTTTCAGCTGCGGCCCGGGAAAGCATTGCTCTGGGGACCTACTGTCTGTCAGGAGGGAAGCAGTAGGTATGGATTGAGAGTTGCTCTCCCAAACCTGCTGCCGTCTTCCGTCAGCCTTAGTCCGCATGGCCAGTGCTTAGGTCTGCTGGGAACGGTCGTCCAAGGCATGTGGAGACTACCAGACCAGGTCAGGGTAGCCTCCTCTGAGATT